GACTCTTCCTTGGGAAAGAAATGTACTCTTATATTCCCTCCTGTCATTCTTCTTTATTGCCTGGGTTTTGTTTATTCCAGTGTAATTTTTGTGTTGTCAAGGTTTATAACAATTACCTTGATGTTTCTTACTTGTTTAGTCTTAGATATATTTTTAAGAATATGTACATTGATTCAGCACTTACCACTAGTCCTTTTATTGCATCTACTTCTTTACCTCTTGGTTGATTAAATTTCCTTGTTGGGTGATTTAAGAACAAAAAACTTGCAGATGTTATTTACCATTGGATCTTTCATGTTAAGTATGACCCTGTTGACTTTATACTTGAGTGATGAGTTGACTAGGTTAATGTTCTTGTGTCACAATTTCTTTCCCATAGCACTTTGAAGGTGTTTATACATTCGATATAGTTTGAATGTTGTGGAGAATGTCTCAGTTTTCCTTTATATTTATTCATTCAGGAAGTATATTTGAGAGTTTGCCATGTCAGTGATGTTCTAGGCTGTGGGAACACAGTACCAAAAAACATCTCTTGCCTGTTGAGTCACCTGAGACTCACTCTGACTTACTCTGTTTGCAGAGTAGAATTGATCCAAAAGGTTTTCTTGGCTGTGATCTTTACAGATGCAGATTGCCAGGCCTTCTGAAGCACTACTGGGTTCAAACTACCAACTTTTAGAAGTCAACCACTGCAAAAAGGGCATGGAGGTGGCATATTCTGACCTCCTCTAACTTCAGAGAGACAGAATCACCATCTGTAGTCCCAAGCTTGTTCTTATGAGACCAGACATACCACCACCTTCCAACCTTTTTACCAACTCTGACACCAGCTGTCCCTCTATAACACTCACTACCTCTGTGCTGGGTTTGATAATTTGTTGTAGTGGCCACACAGAATTCACAGACAATATTTATGGTTATGGGGTTTATTAGAGAAATAACAGGCTACAGTTTAGGTTCAGGAATGCTGTCAGGATACAAGTCTTCAATCAGGATAGTCTCCCCTCGGCTATGCCCTCAGGCATTCCTCTCTGGCCCTTGGCCTCGGCCTGGCCTCTTCTCTGCTTGAGCAAGTGTTACAGAGTTCTTTTTGCTTTGCTGATAGGGATACCTGTGTGCATCCCACTCTGCCAGCAAGCACTCAGCTTTCTTGCTCCATGGGCTGGTAAACCCACTGCTCTGTCTCATGCCTCTTGGTTCCTTTGCTGGTTGTCTCAGCTGGTCTTTCTGTCAAGGAGGTCCAGCATAGGGATCTTGGTCCCACGGATGTACTCCTTTCCACCTCTGGCTCTTCTTTCTTGATGGCAGTGAGAATCCCCCCTTTGGCCTCTAGGAGGACTCATTTTAAGGCTAGCTGAATGATAAAACTAAGCAAGCCCCATATTAAGGTTCTGTATGGCTATTTGCATGGTCCCACCCCTACAAGGATGCCATGTACCTTATTTACATTATTAGCAAGCTGTCCAGTCCCCTTGGTGGGCCACAAGCACCTCACATGTGCGTAGTTCCACCCATTCATCTGGTGAGAGTCACAACGACCAAGGCAAGGAGAGCCATACCAAGTTCAGTATACCACAGGTGCAAACCATTTGTGCCACCTAGGGACCTGGGACATACCTAGGAGCAGGTAAACAAGGTACCTGCTTCGGTAGAGCTTACATTCTAGTAGGTGGTAGACAGACAAACGAGATTGTAGGGGACGTTAGAGAGAGAATGGTGCACAGTTACAGGGTAGAAAGTGCTAGGGGGAGAACAGGAGGATACTTTAGATTAGGTGGTCAGTGAAGGCTTCTGTGCATTTCCTTTGCTCGTTCAGCTCTGCTTTCATCTCATTCTCTTGTTTGAACTTACTTCGGATCTCTTTTCATTCTCATCTTTAGCTTCTTCTATAGGGTGAAGTATTTCTAGGAGTGCTTTTAATTTAGTGTGTTGTATTTCTTTCAGAATAGATTCTTCACCTGTCTTGCATACTATCTCATTTTCTTCTTTTTTTTTTTTTTTGCTATTGTATTGCATAGAAGCCTTTAGTTTTTTTCCCCTCTCCATTTTGCTTGTCCTTATAGAGTCAGCTCTGTCCACATCTTCCCTTTAAGCTGGTTCAGTGCTGATGAATTATCCTTGATTGCCTTCTCATGTTGCCTGAGACATTTGGACCCTGCAGTGAGCTAGTGTTTAAATACTATCTTTTATGGCCTGAAGATGCAGATGTGATGAGGAGACTTAGCTGGCTGGCTTGGATTCTGCTTTCCCTCATGCAGCAGAGCTCATGTCTTGGTTGGAGTTGGACTTTGTTTTGGTTCTGCTTCCTGCTGTGGGTAATTTGTGAGGCTCAGAGTCTTAGCATCATCAGAGGGAGTCAGTCCAGTCTTTTTCTAGCAGATGTTTGTACTTCCTGAAGCAGAACAGGGAAAACCAGTTGCAGTTGGCGTCGACTCAGACTCATAGTGGACCCATGCGTGTCAGATAGAACTGTGCTCCAGAGGGTTTTCAGTGACTTGAGTTTTTAGAAGTAGGTGTCTCTGGGTTGATTGAACCTCTAACCTTTTGGTTAGCAGATGTGTGTTAACTGTTTGTACCACTGAGGGACTCCAGGAGATGGACAGGTTATATTAAAGGTTGTTTGGGACTCTTGTGTTAAATCCACAATGTGTGAAGGGGGCTTCACTGAGGCTCTTTATAAGCCTCTTTCCCAGCCTACCCCTGTTCTCTTAAGATGGTTCGCTCTGATGATTGTTGGTCTTACTTTTGCTCTCCTGCTTTCTTCCCACCAGCGAGGCACTACCATGCAAGCTGCAGAGATTTTTGTGCCTTTTTTGAGTACTTGTTGGGAAGGTCCCTGGGAAGAACCAGAAATAGCTGTGGATGTATGAACTTGTATGAGGGGCAAGCAGTGATTTGCGACGCTATTCGAAGCTGTGGCTCTGTGGTTCGTCCTCCAGCATTGGCTCCCTGGAACAGCCTTCAGTTCTTTCTGTCTTCTATCTGTCCTTCAGTTCTATCAATGGCTACCTGTAGGAGCTAACTTCTCTTCTGCTAACTGCTCCATGGAAGAACATTCTGATTGTCTGTTTCCATGAAGATGATAGCCAAGAAAAATCTATGGAGCGCAGTTTTACTTCATAAAACACAGGGTTGCCATTAATCAGAATTGACTTGATGGCAATGAGTTTGTTCACTATGTAACTGGTTGGGAAGGACTCTCACTACTGGTTTTGCATCTTTTCTTAGAGCTACTTATATGCTCTGTCCTTCTGCCTCTAAGTTGGGGGTGATACTAATAAATTTCCCTTAAAGCTACTTTGGAGGATAGAGTTGGAGTGAATTTGTGGGGAAATGTGTAGGACTGCACCAGGTTAGTTCTTTCTCTGACCATCAGCTCTGGTACTGGCTTAATTTCCTTTTTTCTTTTAACCTATTAGCTGTTTTAGAGAGAGGAAGATCTTATGAACTGGCTTTGTTATAACATCTTAAACCAGAAGTCTGCTTGGTCTAACTATTAAATACATTTTAAAATTTGTTGCCATTAAGTAAAATTGATACCTCAGGACTCGTTGTTTGCCGTCAAGTCAGATCTGACTCATAGCGACCCCTCCTTGGGTTTCCGAGGCAGTATCACTACAGAAGTAGATTGCCCCATCTTCCTCCCGAGGAGTGGCTGGTGGGTTGGAACCGCCAGCCTTCTGGTTAGCAGTCAAGTGCCTTAGGCACTATGTGTGCTCATCCTGAATTCCAGGTGCCCTCTGGCATGTTGATGCTTACATGATGGAGTTGCCCTAGTTTGAGAAGATTTTTTTTTAAAACAAAATTAGGCTTTTTGTTTTTTCAGATAACTAGGAAGTTTGTATAATGCTAATGTGTTATTTTCATGAAATATAAGTTAGTATAGAAAGTATCAACTTTATTTCTTGTATCAGGAATTTGAACATGTTCTTTAATTAAACATAGAAATTCCCTAACTAATTAATATCAGCTGTATAGCTTGTTAAGCATTGAGGAGTGTGAGTCTGGACTGGAAAAAAGACATTCTGTTTAGCAACCCTGCTTTCCCCAGATTTAACATTTCCTAGGTAATCTTTTTTCATAGCAGAAGGGTTTATTGTAGAATATGAGTTGGCAAACTATGGCCTGCAGGCTACTTCTGGCCTATCACCTGTTTTTGTGATTTTTTTTATTGGAACACAGCCATTTCATTATATCTGGTTGGTTTGGAACTTGAGCATTTGCAACAGAGACTATGGCTTGCAAAGGCTAAAATACTTACTTATCTGGCCCTTTACAGAAAAACTTGGCAGATCCCTGTTCTAGAATATTTAGTATTCACATTGTCCTAGTTCATTTTTTTCTTTCTTAATATTTAAGAGTGAGTTTGAGTTTCTTACTCACATTTTCAATGATCTTAGTGGAGTCCCCTGTAGGATCACTGATGTAGGATCACTGAAGCAACAACTCTAACAAAAGTGCACTTCGTCCAGTGCTCCATCTCACTCATCCTAGAAGTCATACACTTCTTGAGAATTGCCTTGAGCCATTGACTCTCCCAGCAGCCAGCTATTAGTACAGAATAGAGATTTATCCCTACATGTTCTCACTTTATTGAACTCTAGATCTCCATCTTGACCATTCTTTTGTAACTTCTAAAGGAATAATGAATGTTTGCACTTTTTCTGAAGCTCATCTGCTTTTTTTTTCCATATGTAGTTTTACCATGAACTCATAAGAAGCATTAGAGAAAGAAGGATTCACTCCACTACATCCCCAGGGGTTAGCACAGTGCCTCACACAGATTCTTCCTTGGAGGAATGAGTGAATGTTTTAGGCAAAGCATATATTGGATATATCTGTTCTGACAAGTTAAGGAGTCTCATTGGCATAGCCTCTGCTTTACAGAGCTTCCTTTTTCTTTTTTTCCATGACATGCTGCTTTTTCTTAATTCATGACGTAGAGAAAGCTCAGTCATTTTTATGCCAATAACCATTAACTATTTTTCCTGTTTTCCCAGGCAGTGGTTATCATGGGTGTGGTGCTACAAGGTGCCAACCTGTATGGCTACATCAGGTGTAAAGTAGGCAGCAGAAAGAATTTAACCAGTATGGCTACCTCTTATCTTGGAAAGCAGTTTTTAAAACAAGTAAGTGTTTTCGGTGTGAGGGTAAATTTGATGCTGTCAGTGATTTCTGACACTTGTAGAGGTAGTTTTATGAAATAATTCTTAATGTAAATATTTTAAGGCACTTTCTTATTTAAATGTGATATGATGATAATAAAGTTGTTTTAGTTACTCCTTGGTTGCTTTTGTTGTTGTTGTTGTTGTTATTTGCCACCAGGTCGGCCCTGATTCATGGCAGCCCCTCTTTGGGTTTCCGAGGTGTTATCTCCATGGAAGTAGATAGACCAACCTGCCTTCCGAGGAGTGGCTGGTGGGTTTGAATCACTAGCCTTCTGGTTAGCAGGCCAGTGTCTTAGGTACTATGCTACCAGAGCTCCCTTGGTTGCTTTTGGTGCTGCTGCTGTTATGTGCTGTCGAGTCAGACCTGACTTATAGCGACCCCTCCTTGGGTTTCCAAGGCAGTATCACTATGGAAGTAGATTGCCCTATCTTCCTTCCATGGAGTGGCTGGTGGGTTGGAACCACCAGCCTTCTGGTTAGCAGTCAAGTGCCTTAGGCACTATGCTACCAGAGCTCCTTGGTTGCTTTTAGGACTTGCCAAAATGTATTGTCAGTGTCCTGCAATTATTTTAAACTAGGAGAAATAGAGTTCGAGGAATGATGCCATGGGACTTTAATGTTCAACTATCATTGGTAATAACTTTCTTTTAAAATTACTGTAGTAAATTCAGGTGCTTTCAGTTCTGGTAACTCTAAATGAATAATTTTGAAGAACTTTTTTTTTGATGGTTTTAAGTATATAGCATGAACAAGTTGAAACAAAATAATATCATACTAAAATTGCTTTAAAGTACTCAAAATTGCGCTCCCCCCAAAACATAGAAGATTTCTACTATAATTCCGCAATAGGAGGGTTTGAATCTGGGTTTTCAATGTGATCAGTTGTACTCATAGATAAATAGCATGTTAGTTAAATTTCTTGTGAAAATTGACTAGGTAACACTTTACATTTGTTTAGCGTAGTATGTTTAGCATACCCATGGCTATTGAGTCAATTCACTATATATAGCAAGTAGTGTTAAATGTCAGTTATCAAACTTGAGTGAGCGTTCACTGGAAGGCTTGCTGAAAAACAGATTTCTAGGCCCCTAGCCTCAAAAGTTTCTTATTCAGTAGATCTGGGGTGGTGTCTCATAATTTTTGTTTCTAGTAAGTTCCCAGTTGGTACTGAAAATTCTTGTCCAGTGATTACAGTTTAGATAACAGTTTTGGAGAGATCAGGCAGTTTACTCAGGAACATGCAGCTAATAAGTGATTCAAAGCTAGGGTTTGAACCTAGCTCTCCTGACTCAAATTTTGTTGTTCTTTCCATTGTTTAGTTTCTCATATAAAAGATATGAGGTAGAGAAAACAAATATTCTTGTAGGGACATGATTCTCATCTTTAAGGTGTTTTTACATGGCCCCAATATACCTTTGTTGTGATCCATCTCATGGTAATTGCCATGCATGTGGTTAGGAGGTTGCTTTCTTAGGATTTTCAGTGTTTCTCAAGGGGGACGGACAGTGAATGGGGGTGATATCCAGTCTTGGTCCTGATATAACATGGGTGGGGTTAGTAGGTGGATGTGGTACTTGGCGATACTTAGCAAAAATGGGACATCATGAACATCTGGATGAATGGTGGTTTCCATTGATTGCCTTTTGCAGCATGTCCAGTTTTAACATAATTGGGCCATTGAGTGTAAGATGATTTAGTAGTGGTCTTTGCTTACAAATATGGGATATTTCCTTAGGCTTATTGCTTTGAAGTCTGTGATATGTTAAGTGAAATAACATTTAACATTAAGGAGTTTTTTTCTTTTGCAGAACACAGAAGATGATCAGACTTCCTAAACAGAGAAAATTTATGTTTCTGTTACATTGGGGAGCAGCTGAAAAGATTCTTGACTTTGAACCTTTTAGAGCTCAGTACATGTTGGGAAGAGTAGTATTGGGTTTGTTTTTCCATTTACAATTATTATTTTTTAATAGTAGTTTTCATGTAAATTTTTATTTTCTTTCTGGAAATTGAGGATTGAAGGTATGGTGTCACTGGCATCATTATCAGAATTTACTTCATGGTGTATGCGTGCATATACACATTCTTGTAATATCCATGTATCCCAAATGAATTGAAGTGTTTATGTTCATATACACATATAACAAAGACCTTGCATTTTGATCCATAGTTATTTGTAGAAGAATGTTCTTACTCTAAAAGCTCTATGCTTTTACATGGTATTTCTGTTGATAGTTTAAGAAGAACGTTTTGCTTCCGTGGAAGAGTAAGCACTTTGGTGTATCTTCATGTTAGAAATAATTTTTATCCTAAACATCCACAAACAAGTAGAAATGAAATTTGGGCAAGTGGTGTTAACTAGTTTCTAAAATTTTATTTTTATTTGCAACAATTCATGTACTTCAGGCATCCATATAAATAGAATTGTCATATCTTATATTTAAGGGTTACCTAGAGATTGCTATGAGAAGATTAGCTGGGTTTTACTTGGGAATTTCTTAGAAGCTCTTTAGTGGTTCTTGGTCAAATGAAATATGATTAACACTCAGAGAATAATATTCTTATGTGATAGTGAGAATAATCATTTAAATACTTGGCATAGTAAATGCCTAAAGGACATTTTGTTTTCTGAATCTCTTTTTTTTTCTCGTTATAATGATTATTGTATTAATGATACTTCTTAAAACAAAGCAATATATTTACCTGTGCTAAACCACTGTACACAAACTATTGTAGGAATCTAAATTCTGTTGTAGGTATTGTAAAGTTTGTTGGAGTCTTTTAATCAGCATATTATTTTGTGATTGTATTTATATATTGTTAAAATTTTTTAAAAGGTGTTTTGTTTGATTGAAGAAGTATCTATTGCAGTGATAGCTTTGAAGGTACATAACTTTATATTTGTATAAAACTCTACTGTTTACAAAAGTACTTTGACGTGTGTATTCTCATTTAACCTTTGCAATAAGCCCATTCATTACATGTGATTTGTTTACCTGTGATAAAACTGAAACTCAGGTTGAGTGGCTTGCCCAGGGAAGCACAGATTGCAGGAGCCATCAGAATTGATGTCTCTTTTTAAAGGACGTATTTGTGTCTTAATATCTTTTCTTAAAAAACAACAGGAACGACAGTCTAGTTGCTTTTGAGTTGATTCACACAGCAACTTAATGTGTCAAAGTAGAACTGTACTCCATAGGGTTTTCAGTGGCTGATTTTTTGGAAGCAGATCATCAGGCTTTCCTTCCAAGAGGCCTTTAGGTAGACTTGAACCACCAACCTTTTGGTTAGCACTCAATGCATTAACCGTTTGTGTTACCCAGACATACCTTTTTGTTGTTGTTGTTGTTATGTGCCGTCGAGTTGGACCCACTCATAGCGACCCCTTCCTTGGGTTTCCGAGGCCGTATCACTATGGAAGTAGAGTGCCCCATCTTCCTTCTGAGAAGTGGCTGGTGGGTTTGAACAGTCAGCCTTCTGGTTAACAGTCAAGTGCCTTAGGCACTTTAGGGAATGTTAATTTATTAAGCACGTGTTGACTATTGTTGACTATTTTATTTAGTGAGAGTAGTTGATACTGTACTAAAGATGTTTTTATTTAATCTGAAAGTTCTAACTTAAATCTTCAGGGTTGAGAGTCTACCACAGGTTGCATCGATACAGTTCTTGAAGTAACCATGTTGTGTATTTGAACCTGCAAGGCTAAACCAAATATGAATTGAATTTCGGAATATGCATGTGGCAGGATCTACCACTTATCCCTAATACCCATTTTCTCCTTCTACAGTAATAAAGCCTCCACTTACTAACTGGGACATGGCAACCTGGAATAAAGATAACTTTTCCTTGATTTTCTTGCTGCATCTAGATGTGTCTATGTAACTATGTTCTAGACAGTGGATACATTTCTAGGAATTATCCTTAGAAGGAGGAACATCCCCATCCCCTGCCTTTATTTTCTTCCTGCTAGGTGAAATGTAGACATAATAGCTGAAGCTTGAGCAACTATATTAGACCATGTGGTGAGAATCTTATTTTGCAAATGGCCAAGAAATAAGGTAGAGATTGTCTGAGTTCCTTCTGGTGGTAGAGGAACCCTGAACTACCTATCTGAATTTCTAAGTGAGAGAGAAACACACTTCTGTCTTGTTAACGTTGCTCTTTTGGTTTGTATGTTGCTCATAGCTTCATTGATACTTCAACCAGTGCATTTTTAGCATCACTCATAATTCTTTCCATTAGTATACAATTTGAGATGTAATGATTCAGTAAATATATATTTGAAGCCTGAGCTTTTTCTCTTTGTAGTGATTAAGCCCGCTGCTCCAGATAATTATTGTTATATAACAAATCACCCCAAAACTTACGGTGTAAAAATAGCAATTTTATTATGCTTATAAATTCTAAGGGTCAGGAATTTGGGTGGAGACAGCTTGTTCTGCTGCATGGTAAGTATCTGGGGGATCAGCTGGGAAGATTGTAACTCAGGGTTTGACATGATGGCTGAGGGCAGGACTCATCAGACATGTCTTTAACCATGTATCTGGAGGTTGAAATTGCTGTCACTTGGGACCTTGGCCAGGCTGTTGAGTGGAACAGCTGCATGTCTTTTCTCTCTCTAATATCTGGATGTGCTGGTTGGCCTTCTCTACAATCTGGCACTGGGTGTAAATAGCAAGCATCCCTAGAAAGCAAGGTGGAAATGTATGGCATTTTTTACCTAGTCCCAGAATTCACATACTGTTATTTCTGCTGGTTGAGGCCATCACAAAGGTCCACCCACCTCAAGGTAAGGGAGACAACAGATGTCATCACTTGTTGGGAGGACTATTAATATGAGATTGTAGGAACAGTATATGACATGAGACATGTTGTGTAGTCATGTTTGGAAAATAAAATCTATACTACTTTAAGCATACCATCAAGATGTAAAATTTCTTAGAAAAGACTGAGGGTAGTAAGTGATGGTGTTTTTCTGTTATCTTCCCTGGGTCAGCCTTGGATACAGATGGATTGATCCAGTGGCATAATTAAAATAAAAGCATCATCACATTCCATACCCCCAGAGTAACTGCTCTTTGACCCACATCTCGGAGTAAACAGGTGAAGGTGTGCGCATGTGTTTGTGGAAATGAGGATGCATTGATTCCACCATAGTGTAGATGCTGTGATCCGTTTTTTGGTGACTTTTTATTGTACTTTGGGTGAAAATTTGCAGACCACATTGGTTTTCCGTTCAACAGTTCATACACATTTTGATTCATGGCACTGATTGTAATCCCCATGATGTAACAGCGTTTGCCCCACTTGCCTGTGTTTACCATTTCTATTTGTCCTTCTTTCCTGTACCGTTCTGTGTTCTGCTTCTGAGCTTTATCCCTGGTTAAGTGCTACCCTTTCGTTCTCATACGAGTGGTTGTTCTAAGGAGAGCGTACTTCTCTGGTATTGTTCAGGTTGTAGACCTGTCTGTTGTTTGGCTGAAAGGTGAGCCATGGGGTGAGTTTGGTTCTAGGTTTAAAAGGTATCTAAGGGCTATAGTTTTGGGGGTTTGCTCAATTTTCATCTTACCAGAAAGCCTAGTCTTTTTTTTTTTTTTTACAAGTACAGAAAGATGGAAATTTAATGACAAATTTACACATCTCTCCATGTACACTTGCTGACATGAATACACAGTGCTTTCAGAAACAAATTGAAATGGACTAAAATGGACACATAAATTTTTCACATTTGAAGCATATAATCAAAGACATTAACATATTCATAGAGGTCCCTTTTCAACAGAATTGACTTAAGCTCCCCTCACCTTTTTTTTTTTTTCCCCTGCAATAGACTATGTTATGAGGAAGACTAGAAACATCTATGACTGTATTCCATGACCTTTGTATTAGGTGCAAAGGCTAATGCTCTGTTGGAGGACAGCACATTTTCTAACTTGTTCTGAATGAATTGCTAGTGCATTATAAATCTTGAAATACTGAATTACTATATTTAAAAGAGCAGACATGTATAGTCATCAGTAAAATCATTGATACCTAGTCTTTTTTTCATTTTGGCTTTTGTTCCAGCTTTTACTTCCACTCTATCCAGGACATCCTATTGTGATCCCTTCATTAATAAGTGCCTCAAGTCATCCTCACTTTCAGCAAGCAAAGTTGTATCATCTGCGTATCTCAGGTTGTTAATGATTCTTCTTCCAATCCTGATGCCACGTTTTTCTTCATATAGTCCAGTTTCTCAGATTATTTGCTCAGCATATAGATTGAATAAGTATGGGAAAAGGATACAACCCTGACGCACTCCCTTCTTGATTTTAAACCATGTAGTGTTCCCTTCTTCTGTTCGAACGACAACCTCCTGGTCAAGGTACAGGATCCTCATGAGTACAATCAAGTGTTTGGGAATTCTCAATGTTATCCATAATTTGTGATGATCCACACAATCAAATGCCTTTGCGCAGTCAATAAAACACAAATAAACATCTTTCTGGTATTCTTTGCCTTGAGCCAAGATCCATCTGACAATAGCTATGATATCCCTTGTTCCACATCCTCTTCTGAATCCAGCTTGCACCTTTGGAAGTTCTCTGTCAATATACTGCTGCAAACGTTTTTGAATTATCTTCAGTAAGCTCTTATTTGCATGTGATATTAATGATATTGTTCTATAATTTCCACATTCTGTGGGATCACCTTTCTTTGGAATGGGTACAAATATTAATCTCTTCCAGTCAGTTGGCCATGTAGCTGTCTTCCAAACCTCTTGGCACAACCGAGTGAGTGCCTCCAATAGGGCAACCATTTGTTGAATTATCTCAGTTGTTATTCTGTCAATTTC